ATAATATCCAGAAACAATCGATCATCTTGTATCAGGTTGCACGGTATTGGCACCCACTGAATATAAAACCCGACATGACAGAGTGAGCCAATATCTGCACTGGAAAATCTGCAACTACGAGAAGGAAACTGAAAGAAACTGGTATGAACACCACCCAGACCCGGTTACGGAGATAGGACCTGTTACAATTCTATGGGACGACACAATACACACTGACAGAACAATCAAAGCCAACAGCCCAGATATTGTTATTAAAGACCACAAACAAAAACGGTGCCTCCTTATTGATATGGCTGAGTGCAATGTATTTTTGAAGATATTCAAAAAGCTATCAAAATACAAGGACCTTTAAATAGAAATCTCAAAAATGTGGCACATGGGAACATCAACAATCCCTGTTGTAGTTGGAACTCTAAGATTGGTTGGAAAAGATTCCAGTAGACTCATTGAAGGGATTCCAGTAAGTCCATGCCTCAAAGAGGTACACAAGTACAGCCCACACTTTACGAAGGGCTTTATCTATGAAATTTTTTTTTTTTTTTTGTCAGTAGAAAGTGTCATGAGGCCATTTTTAACCTTAGGTCTCTGGGCGGGACCCGGAAAGAAATATGTAAAAGCCATAAATCAAAGGAAATTTTTAAAAAAATAATAATAATAAACAAAATTATTGACGTAACTCTTCCAATATTTTTGTTATATAGGAATAAAGTGTCGAATCCGACATTTGAGTTTGAACATAGATCGCCAGTGAGCAAACACAGGCGATCCCATTATTGAATTAAGTAGACCACGTGACCCTAGAGGAAACACATAAGTAGGAAGTATCGTATGTCTAATTGATCTGTATTTCTAGTCTATCCTCTATACTATACGGACCGCTATTCTCTACTCTATGTATTATACTATTTCTCAATTCGGATCACTATTTGGTGGTTACTGTTTGAGTGGCTAATATCGAGCAAGTACTATTAGTGCGAGTGCTATTCGAAGGCGCCTGACACCAGTATTGTTCAACGGCGTTACTATAGTTGTAGCTGCGGTTACAATGTCTCTACTACAAAAGTGACAACGGGTATTCGTTGACATCACAAAAGTGGCAACGAGTGTTCGTTGACATCACAAAAATTTTTAACACTTAAAAGAAGAGTACGATTTAAGAAAAGATAAAGAAATGAAAAAACAGTATTTGATAATGTTAGACAATATTTCAACAGAATGTCTGTCTTCTTTAAGTCATGTTTAAACATTTTTTTCAAGTATAAAAATATATAAATCTACAAAAAATTATTACAAACGCTTATAATTTTTTGTAGATTTATATATTTTTGTACTTGAAAAAAATGTTTAAACATGACTTAAAGAAGACAGACATTCTGTTGAAATATTGTTTAATATTGTCAAACACTTTTTCTTCTCTTTTTCTTTTCTTAAGACACGCAATTTCTCTTATTTGTTGACAACATTAATAAGATGTTTGCAATACTGATTAATTTACGTAAAGCCTGTAATAAATTTAACATCATTTAAAAATAATTAAACATTGAATCGAAATTTATGCTTGAATTATGCAGGTTTATTACCTTTGAAAATCGTGAGATATTTTTATTCTTTTTTTTTTTACGTTAAAATCTCGTATATCTTGTCAGTTGCTTGATTCTGGTAGTAAATGCTACGGGTTCCCGCATTTTTTAGGGCCTGGCTTTAAAAGCTTTCTAAGTTCTCTAGTGAATTCGGTATCTTACGATTTGCCAATGTTGATGTTTTGTTTACAGGTCGAGCTGAATCTTTTCTAAATTATTTATCATGTCAGGTAACATTATATCGAGACCGTTAATAAACCCACACAAATGTCTCGCTAGAGTTATTTGCCTCATATTTTCCTGGCTTTGTTTATTTATATTGATAAAAGTTAAATATTTGCCGGTTAGTTTTTATATTTTATCTTGAATTTTTCACCAAACAGAACACTACTGTTAACTTGTAGTGAATCTAGGAAGGCTGCGTGAATATTTAAGATTGTGCTGTAAATAAAATATGCAATATCCACAAACATAAATTTTAAGAAATGGCCAAATGGTAACGATATTCAATCACGACAAAAAAAATACATGTTTGAAACAACAGATTAAATTTTATATACACAATTTACAATTTCTTTGTTTGTAATGATGTGTGCAAAGGTATATTTTAGAGAAAATGTTCTTTGCTGTTTCGGAAATGTTCAATGTATAAAAAGTTGTGTGCCTTTGACTAAAAAGTTTGAATTTAACTTAGACAAAATATTTTTCTATGAAAGATATTGAGTGAAAAAGTTTGTTGTGTAAATTTTTCTGATCTCTCATAAAGAAAGTTTGTTGCTTTGGCGACACATAATTCCCGTGTGTATTATTCGCGTGTGTGAGTCTCAACTGCGACGAAATTTCGTTTGCTATTTCTATTTATATTTTTCTTAACAACGAAATCGACTCCAACGAAGCTCTGTAGCTGTTGCAAATTTTTCTGAGAAATGCGTGGGCGAATGTTGTATTTTTTTATTTTTTAGCCAATAGGATTTCTTGAAACATTTAAATTAGAGATGAACTTGAGAAAGACTTTTTTTTTACGTCGGTTGAGACTATTTTTGCACAAATTTTGACTGTTTTGTTATGGAAATTTCTCGAAGCTTATTTTTATTTAACAACCAATGAAATTCAAGAAAATGTTTGAAATTGAAATGAGGGTTACTAAAATCTCAAAACGCATACATTATTTATAATATCTAAGACGAGCGTAATATCTACCTGTTTTATAAGCTAGTAACGGGGTGGTAGCACCTGCTAGGGACCCAGCTATGGGCAAATAGTTAACCCCTAAACTGGGGTCAAAACACTATGAAAGTGTAAAAATAGGTTTTAATAGTAGCAATACATTTCTGGAAAAAATATTACCAGCAATGAAAATCTTATTGACATTAAATAACCCATTGAGGTATTGATATGCCGTAAAACAAAATAAACCAAACCAAACATACAAGACTGTGTGAACGGTTGATCAGTCTATCGTCCGTTTTCGTTTTACTGCTGAAAGCCGTAGAAAGAGACGACCGAAGACACAACGGGAAAGAAAAGTTTTTGCGTTGGCGTCTTCTACGTCCACCTTCAACAGTGCCTTGCATGATGGTCTTGCATAGGCTGTCGTGCTTTTTAATATGTTCAAACCACGCCATTTTTCTCCTTTTGACAGTGGCGAGAAGAGGTTCCTAGTGTTCCACAAAACTTTCAACCCTTTTCCGCGCAACTATATTGGTTTTATGTTCCCAATAGTAAATGCCAAGGAGTTTTCTCATGCATTTGTTCTCGAATACTTGGATCCTTCTATCTGTTTCATTTTTGAAAAAAAAATATATTACGAGCAATAAAAATGTTGTTGCTATTAAATAACCTATTGAGGTTGATATGACGTAAAGCAAACCAAACAAACAAGCTAGTAAAAAGTAAATAATTTGATTTAGTTTTTATGTTTATTTTTTTTAAATTTAAGACACCTTTTTATGTTACAAAATGCTGCAGGCTAGACATTAATCCAACACTGAGTTTATCATGTGTAGTACTAGACATTTTTTTTCTTTAATTTATTTTAAATTTAAACTAACCTAGCAATTATTGTTGCATAGTTTTCAAGTGATAGAAAATTAGTATTAAAATCCAAAACAATGATTATTAATAATTTCATTTATGAAGAGTTAAATGATTTCTAAAAATGCCTCTTTTTCTTTGTTTCCTGGGAGTAACAAGAGAACCGCCAAACAAAATATACTTCCACCATTTTTTTTTTCGTACAACCTCATTGGTTTTATTTTCCCAATAGAAAATGCCAAGGAGTTTTCTCATGCATTTGTTCTCAAACGCTTGGATCTTTCTCTCTGTATCTGCCAACAGTGTCCACATTTTAAAATATTCCTTCCTCTCCTGACATATATATATATATATATATTCATTACATTATATTAGTCTGATGAATTGCTTTTAGAGGATAAAACATGTTACATAGATTTTTTTTTTCCAATTATTTAATTCAGTTACGAGGTATGTCTGAAAAGTAACGGGTCTGGTGTCACAGAGAAATTATTTCAATTCCAAACAACAAACTGCATGGTTTCCTCTTCAAAGTAATCGTCCTCGAAGTTAATGTGCTTTTTCATCCTTCTTTGCCACGCAATGCTGGAACGATTCTTTTTGCATGCCAACACCCCCCCCCCCAGCTATATACTTACAACCCTCTTGACGGCCTCCATGCCTTCAAAAAAGATCTCCTTCATGATCCCCTTGAGACTGAGATAAAGGAGGAAGTCACGCGGAGCAAGGAAGTGAATAAGAAGCTAGTAAAAAGTAAATAATTTGAGTTAGTATTTATGTTTATTTTTTTTAAATTTAAGACACCTTTTTAGGTTATAAAATGCTGCAGGCTAGACATTAATCCAGCACTGAGTTTATCATGTGTAGTACTAGACATTTTTTTCTTTAATTTATTTTAAATTTAAACTAACCTAGCAATTATTGTTGCGCAGTGTTTTCAAGTGATAGAAAATGTTATGGGGTCCACCCCTTTTTCATACAAGTGGACTTGACCAGTGTGTACTTGGACTGCTGCCGTTAAATAAACCAGAGTCAGTTAGTGTAGAGGAGAAAGATAGAGATTGTGATTGAGTTGGAGGTAGAATAATAGTGTGAGGTAACCGCTTGTAGAAGTCACAGTTACAAGCACGTAGACTCTAAGGAAGTCCTACTTCGAGACTGGATTTACCAGAGTGTGTATATATATTATTATTGCTACTAACCACGTTTCTGGATCTATTAACCGTATTACCAATTGTATTATTGTGTAAATACATTTATTTGTTATATTTCATTCCTGCGTTTGTCATTCATTGGAGACCGAATTACATCTCGGAATCCACAACAGAAAATTAGTATTAAAATCCAAAACAATGATTATTAATAATTTCAATTATGAAGAGTTAAATGATTTTGATTGTCGTTTCTAAAAATGCTTCTTTTTTTTCTCTGTTTGCTGGAAGTAACAAGAGAATAACTTCCACTATTTTTTCTTCCTTCGTTCTCCTTTTGTTGATGCAGGTACCGCCAAAAATTCGCTAAAAACTGAGCAGGATAAAAAAAAAAACAAATACACAAAATATAATAAAAGCAGAGCTTAATCGTTTATATAAGTACCTCCACGGAAACGCAATACATTAAAATTTAAAAAAATGATTTCCTAAAATTTAAAAATGAACAATCTTTCTTGAAGCTTTTTTATTTCAGTTTTAATTTGAAGATAATAGATTAAATCTAATATTTCCAATAAGCGCCTCAGTTGTTCGTTTTAAGGTCCTCGACAAAATCCAGAGACGGATATGCAATGTGAAGGGTCCTGATCTGGCATCTCGTCTACAGTCACTTTCTCACAAACCTGCTGTCGCTTCTCTCTGACTTTTCTACAAGTACTTTCACAATAACTGCTCCGACGAGCTATTTTCGCTGGTGACCAAACTGCATGAATTTAAACGTGCTACTAGGTTGGCATCTCAGTCCCACCCTTTCACTGTCGAAATGGTTAAATGTAGCCGTCTCTTCTACTCCAATAGCTTCATGTCTCGCACTTCCTGTCTGTGAAACTCCCTTCCTCTTACTTGCTTCCCTGACAGTTATAGTCTTCAAATATTCTAATGTAATGTCGATCGACATGTTCTGATGTCTTGATCTAATTCCCCGTCTTTTTCTTTATCCTTTCTTCAATCATGTCTCTTTACACTTGCCCCCACTCTCTGTAACCCCTTCCATGTTCCCGCCTTGCTTTAAAAAAAAATGCAAAATGCTTTGCTGTATTTCAAAACTAATTTAAATCGACTGAAAGTTTTTTTGTTTTGATTTTCTTTTCTTTTTTTTTCAATCGGTGATTTTAGCGCCGTTTTTAGCTATCTGTCATCACGATGCAATTCCCTTTATTAAAAATCTTTTAAAAATATAATTTTCTGAAACTCTTTTAAGGGAATATTAGTTGATTTAAAGTTTGATTAATCTGATTTGAAACAAATATTACTTACTTTAAGTTTAAAATATCACAGAAAGGCATTTTTTAAAACGATGTTTTATATACGATGTTTTTTAACACGGTGTTTTTTACATCTGTTACCCCCCCACACACACACACACACTTTTTTTTAATTTTACGAAATTTCGGGAAATAAATTTTTGTACCGCTTAAATGTTTCTATTAGTTATATGGAGAACTCCTTGAGAAATTTAAGTCACAATTTCTTTTTTTTTTTTTTTTTTTTTTTAAAACAGGACACCCTGTTACCTAAAATCTGCTCAAAATTGTAAAATAAAAAACGCATTAAACTAAAACTTTATTTAATTAGAAAAGTTTCTAATTGCTTTTATGAATAAAATATATTATGGACAGAACAGTCTTATGAAATAAAAATCGATGAATGATTGATTTTTTACAATTGTTTTATTTTTTTTTAATTTTAATTTATTTATAAACTTTAAATCGTTTACAATTCTTTATCAATTTGTAGCGGTTGGTATTGTTATTAAATTAAAACTGTATTTACTAATCAAAAATAGAAAAGCCACTACAATTCAACGAGACACGCAGTATTTAAAAAATAATTTTTAATTTGTTTTATTGTATAAACGTGTCAATTTTTTGTAAATACGGATGTCCATACATGATATTATCAGAAAGTAAAAGCGGTAACTATAGTAAATATTAAATTTATTGGTAATTTTTAACATTTCTTCTACAAGCGTCTTCGCAAGTAAGACTATAAAACCAAAGTAATTAAAATTCAAAAATATTAGAGATTGCTTAGAATATTTTCTTAAATTTTTAAGATTAATATATTTATATATATATATATATATATATACGTGTGTTTTATAGTTTTAAGGTATGCTATAATTTGGGATAAAGTGCTCAATATCAGAGATAGAGCGTATATATATATAAAGTGAACATTGAAGTCAACACTCATCTGTGTTTCATGCTAAACGCAATCAGACCTGATGATTGCGTTTCCCATGAACACAAACTACAATGTTCACACTATATATATTTTTTAAATATAAACTAAATAACGAAATTAGTCGAAATAAATTTTAATTTAATTTATATAATTTTTCGAGATATTTAGTAACTGTATATGCGTGCGAACATATTTACATTATTTTATTTAATGGTCAAAACTCAATTTTTTTTTTTTTTTTTTGTCATCAAACAGATGTGGTTCAGTTTGGAATGTCGAACTGAAACCATCTGAATTGTAGACTGTTTTATACGTGACATGTTTAATGGATGTCAGTTATCGTTATCTTGTTAATTTCCTCTAAAGTTCTCCATATATATTGAACTCACACTTTTTTATCCATGCCATGTGTCCTAGGCAGTGGAGAACTTTCAGAGGGAATTAACAGGAAATAATGACGTCCATTAAACACGGGAATAGAACAGTCTACCCCAGTGAACAAAATAAAGGGTTCAGTTCGGCATTCCAACCATCTGAAGAAGGTGGAGCTCAGCCGAAATGTTATAAATTGGCGACAAAGATGAGGACAATAGTCTGAATAATGTAAATAATGTAAATTTATCTCAGATTAAGTGCTCAGTGTAGTTAAACAGAGCTAAGGAAATATATATTAACAAATACATATACCTAACATAAAGTTTCATGGTTTCTCAAGTTGTCAGGCACGTATGGCGATTGAGCCGCTTATTACAAGTGTGTTTTTTTTAATACTAGGTTTGATGGGAGGAACGCTAAATTATACTCAGATGCAAAGCTCAAAGTTAATATCAACCCAAGAAGTGGTTCCACGCTCCTCAAAACCTCCTGATCAGAGGCCTTGCTGTCGGATGTAGCTTATCGTCTTACCCAAAACAGGTGTAAGGAGGGAAACATTGGGAAAAACAAAGCAACAAAAAAAATGAAGCCCCACAAAAAAACAGGAAATTTTAGATTTACTATATCATGAAAAAAAGTTACCAAACATAATTAACTATATATTTTACTAAAAATGAACTAAAAATATTAACTAACGTATTAATTTTTAACCATTTCTTGTTCCAAGATGCTGCAGTTAATAAATTTTCAGCGCAAGGTAATTGTTCTCTTTAAGAAAGAACATCCATTTTGGGGACAGAAAAATGCCAAGAAATTTTGCCAGAGTTCTTTAGTTTGAACAACACATCTAAAATTTGTATTTTTGTTCTATTTTAAGCGACCAAATTTCTATCCTTTGCTTTTATTTCAAATAACAGTAACAAAAATTCCATCAATTGAATAAACTGTACCACACTTCCTGTCTTTTGTGGGACATACTATATATATATATATATATAAGGCGTTGACGTTGTATTCGGCGTGCAATTTTTACAGCTATGTACACCTTGTGTAAATTTACCAAGCATGAGGCTGTTGATGGATTTTCCAGCACCTCCTAAAAACACCCACCTATCTGTTAAAAATGCTTTTCTGGAAGATTTTAAACTAAAAATAATTTTTTTTTCAGTTCAGATTAATTAAACTTTAAATAAACCAATCTCCTTCAAATAACATTTCAGAAAAGTACATTTTATTTTTAAAAAAATTTTTAATAAAGAGAATTTTTTTTTCTTGGCAGATTTATCAAATATGGACGATTTAAGAGATTTTACTAATAATCAGAAGAAAAAAATAATCCATTCGATTTAAATTCGGTTTGAAATACTGCAAAGTATTTTGCTTATTGGAAATATTCAATTTATTCTATTAAATTGAAATTAAAACTATTATAACAGCTTCAAGAAAGATTTTTAATTTTTTTTTAAATGCATTTTAAGCCTTAGGAATCGTTTTTTATTTTTCCAAAATGAAATGACAAAAAAGTCTTCTCTGTTTTGTGACTAAAACGTCGTTAATCGTTTTCCCAGTAATCCCCCATCACCACAAGGAAAAAAATCACGAACACTACTCTATCGCTAATTATTACTGGCAAATATTCAGACAAGTTACCCTCCTTCGTTCCACGTGTTCTAATCTTTACGACTAGGACCCGCCATGTCGCGGTGACGTTGAAAAACCATCTCCATTTCCTTCAGGTTACTGTGATATGGACCAAGTTCTATTCAGACAGCTTCTTCCCCCAAATTATTCCTTCGTGGAATAAACTCCCGAAAGGACGCTTTCCTGAACACTACAATTTTTGTCTCTTTGATAGATAACAGTTGAACCTAGACTTATCTAGAGTCAACTGTTATCTATCCTATACGGCCTCAGAATGTACACGGGATAATTCCGACATCTTCCTCCCGTTCGACAATCTCACCCAGTAACCTTCTACCTTGAGTGGCCGCTGGGCCTTGTAATGGGTGAACTGTGTTAGAATTTTTGAGTAGCTTGTACTAGTGAGCCAGTCAAAATGAGCTGACTCATTTTATAGTTCACCAAGAGAAAGGTTAACCAATCAGAAAGCTCAAAATATTCAATCCGACGTGTATAAAGGCAGCCATTTTGTTTTTCTCCCAAAATATCTTCACTGCCAACCTCTGATATCGAAGACTTAAAGAATTAACAGCCGCTACTTTCTCCGAATGTTCAGTGCCAACCTCTGATATTGAACACATTACGGACTTCACTGGATTCCATATTCAGAGACTACGGCAAACATGGTCAACAAACTGATGGTAAAAAAAAAAGAACAAAAAGACGATATCTTACTTCTGATCTCTTTCTCTTACTTTCTCTTTCTTTAGCTCTCTCCCTCTCACTCTCTCAAATTGGAGATGGCTTTAATTCCTTATTTCTTTCCTCTTTTCCTTATTTCTCTCCTTCTTTTTCTATTTATCTTTTTCCTTCTATCCTTTCTTTTCTTTTCTTTCGTTGTTTCTTTCTTTCTTTGGTTTTTCCTTCCTTTATTTGCTTCTTTCTTTCCTTTCTTCATGTTTTGCTTCTTTCTTTCTTTCCTTCATTCTTTTCTGCTTCTCTCTTTCTTTTCTTCTTTCTTTGCTTCTTTCTTTCTTTTCTTCTTTTTTGCTTCTTTCTTTCCTTCCTTTTTTGCTTCTCTTTCTTTCGTTCTTTCCTGCCTTCTTTCTTTCTTTCCTTCTTTCTTTGCTTCATTCCTTCCTTCTTTTTTGCTTCTCTCTTTCTTTTCTTTTTTCTTTCTTTCCTGCCTTCCTTCTTTCTTTGCCTGTTTCCTTCCTTCTTATTTGCTTTTTTCTTTCCTTTCTTCTTTTTTTCCTTCCTTCTTTCTTTCCTTCCTTCTTTTTTTTCCTTTTTTCTTTCCTTCCTTCTTACTTCCCTTCCTTATTTCTTTGCTTCTTTCATTCTTCCTTTCCTTCTCTCTTTCCTCTCTTCTTTCTCTCACGCCTATAAATTTAAAAAAAAGTCAATTATTTTCAAATAAACCATTAATGGCGAACGATGGAAATTTTAACGGAAACTAAGGCAAATAAATAAATTTAAAAAAAAAAAGTTCACCTTTTCTCAAAAGACAAGTATTAAGAAATGTCTTTTTATTCTGTAAGGTTTTTTTTTTTTCATTTTTGACATTTTTAGACACGCTTCAGTGTACTCTCTCTATACACAACAAATACAAGGATTAACTCGTAAATTACTGGAATTTGAATACCTCCTGCCGTTGGAAAAGAAATAAAAGGCTCTTTAATCTCAGCTTTCACAACTGAAGAATACGAGAAATAAACAAACAAAACAAAGAAAATCGTTAAAAGCTTTGAAAAATAACAGACGAAAAAGAAACTTCTCAAAATAATCATGAATGCACATGTAACAGGGTTGGATGTTGGATATGTGTAATGTAAGTTACCTTGTTATTGCATGTATCTTTAGTAGTAGTTGGTAGAGGAACCCTTTTTACTTTTTTATACTGAAAACGAAATGAATAAAAACGTATAACGATGACAACAATAAGACTTTGAGACACGTGTTGAAATTAATGACAAGAATGTGTATTTTTTTCTTTTCGTGATGTCAATCACAATATTGGCATTGTGTTAGAAATATTCTCGGTTTTATTGTCTCTTTTGTTTCTTTAAAAGTTTGGGCTTACTTGTTTTTGCTTGTTCCGAGAATTTCGTTGTTAAGGGTAGCGTTTGAGACCGTTAACTGTGGATTTTTACGGAGCGAAGAAGATACATCTGCCTTGTTCTTTTTACTACTGTTACTGCCACTGTACTTTAATCTACTCAACTCGACTCTACTCTACTGACCTTACTGTCTTTGCTTGTGGTAGAAGGGTCGTTTTTATAATGATAAGGTTTCAGATTTTAGAATGATGAAATATTATCATTCTGAATCATAAGACACACGTGTCAAGACATGTTTGAAAGATTCTTAGAACGATTTTGAATCTAACTGAATTTTTTTTCATTTTGTCTGTCAGATAAGACGACACGTAGGCTATTTACTAAAACTGTTTTTAAAAAAAATCCTAGCTAACTTACATATTCTATCGTTAGTTTACGGCTGATGAACAGATGTCCCCCCCTCGAGGAGGCTCTCTGCCTTGAGAGAATGTCGGGCTTCAGACTCACACTCGACCTGAAGAGGAACTCTTATATACGATCCATCGCTAACGATGCAGGTAAAATGATCAGCTCCCTGTATCGCGCCAGTAAGTACCTGACTCCTCATGATGTTCTCTACCTTTATAAGAGCCAGATCAGACCGAAAATGGAATACTGTTGCCATATTTGGGCGGGAGTTGGTCAGACCTCACTTTCCAATCTTGATAGAGTTCAAAAGCGTCGCTGAGTCATTGGTGGGGGGAATTATTTTCCACCTTCCAACCTCTCTCTCTCTCTCTCCTTCTCTCTTTCTCTCTCTCTCTCTCTCTCTCTCTCCCTCTCTCTCTCTCTCTCTCTCTCACACACACACACAGGCGGGATATGGCGAGTCTCTCACTGCTCTATTGCTACTATCGTGGAAAGTGCATCGTTAAAGGACGAACGCTACATTCCTTGGTTCCGACAGGTCTGACCTTCACGCCTTGGACCCGCCATGCCACTTACATAGTAGCGAACCACCCACATTCCCCCCGTATTCCATCGATGAGAATTACGTTCCACTCGAGCAGCTTCTTTTCCATGGATCACTGCCCTGTGGAATCGACTCCCAAGAGGATGCTTCCCCGTTCGCTATAATCTTAACCTCTTCAAGTCTAGAGTTAACCGTTATCTTTTCCCTCCTATCTATATAAACTATCCCTTAACGTAATCCTCTACGGCAAGTGGCCACTCGGGACTTGTACAGGATGAACCTTAAAAAAAATTAAAAGTACATTTAATATCTGTCTTAATTACTGGGATGAAAAGTTATCATTATTTACACTATTTGTATTCAGACTATTTTCCTCATCTTTGTCGTTATTATCACAACGCTTCGGCTCAGGTGTATATCGATCTGGGTAACCTACAGGGAATTCTGAACTGGACCCTTGCTAACAAAACCGGCTATAACTTTGATTTTACAAATGCCATCCTAACAAACAAAAAAAACAAAAAAAACATAAATTCTTTTCTTCAAGGGAGTTCTGATGAATATTTTACCAACTATAAACTCACATCAAAAACACTATATTACACCAACGACATTTATTAGATCCATTCTTAAAAAATCTAACGTATATTTGACGTAGAAAAACATCCCCCAAATCAACTTGCGGACAAACTCCAAGTATAAATTAAGTGCTTAATAGGCACACACGCACGCGCGCACGCGCGCACACACACACAAACGAATATACATCATCATCCGAATACCAAGACAAGCTAGAAGTATTATACATACGAACGCTGCTTGACAAGTGAAATGCACATGAAGCTTGCTTAACCAATGAAAATCAAACGACACAAAAATCAAAATACGAGAAATTTTTTTTCCATATCTCATTCTCTGATGAAACTTTAATAATAAGGAAACACTTTATGCTTATAAACGTTATATATATATGCGTGTGTGTGTGTATACATTTACATATATGTATGTATGTTTATATATGTGTGTGAGCATGTGCATATATATATATATGTATGTATGTATATGTATATATATATATATATATATATATATATATATATATATATATATATGTGTGTGTGTGTGTAGAGAGAGAGGGGGAAGAGAGAGGTAGAGAGAACGAGAGGGAGAGAAAGAGAATTAATACAAGTAAAATGTTTTTATCACTTAGCTGATTGATGTTCCTTCAGCATCCCGATTCCAGAGTTTCGTAGACGGACGCTCCGGGAATCACTCCGTCCATCGTCAGGGAATTTTAGCAATTGACTGCTTACACTTCCCGAGTTTTCTTTTTTTATACGCACATTTATTGATGCAAGTTTTTTTTTTTCATAGTGCATGCGCGCGCGCGTGTGTGTGTTTGCGCGTACGTGTCTGGGATTTGTTTTATATTCTCCTCTATTAGTAAAGAAATATGGACTTTATTCATTAATCAGATATAGTTTTGTTACTTTAAGTGTTATTCCCAGTCAATACCCATAAAATCCATCCTTTTTTTTACATATATATATATATATATATATATATATATATATATATATATATATAAAGGCTTAAACACTAATATTCCATGGTCATAATTTATTCCATTGGAATCGTAAATACGATCCAATTCATCAGACCTACAAATTCAAAAAGAAAACAGAAAAAACAACTCCGGGAATAAAAAATAAAATTTAGTGAGAGTGTATGTATGAGAGTGTGGGACGAATGTTAGAGTAAATGAAAGCTATAGAGAGGGGTAACAGACGAGAGAAGAACAGGAAGGTCTAAAGATGAAGGTGAGGGATTAAAATTTAACAGAGAGAAATTTTAAAGAGTGGGGGGTCAAAGACGGTTTAAGTGAAAGAAATATGAATGTTGTCGGATGTCTAATACATTAAAGATGTAACCGGAAAGTATTGAGTTCTACCTGGATTCTATCCTCTTGAAATTATTTTTTTTATACAAATATATATGTATGTATGTATGTATATATAGTTATATATTTTGCATATATATGTGTATATTTACCACTAATATTATATATATATATATATATATATATATATATATATATATATATGAGATGTGAAATCTTGTGCTGTCTTCATTGAAGATGACACCCTTCCGACAAGTCAATTTGGTATTCTTTTCATTGATTGTAACTCTTAATTTGTCCCAATAATAAGAAGATAATGGTGATTTACCCATCACCCCCTGTAAGATAGATATCGGTTAAACCTGGGCTTGAAGAAACAAAAACTATAGACTCCTATAAGATTTCCACAAGCTTATTAGATATGTTGCTCCATAACTGTCTAGGCGGTTGAAATTTTGTATACAATAAATGGCACATGTATTTGTACATATACTCTAAGACTGACATCTAGATGTCATTCTATTCACAATGTTTGTAGGTTTCTTAAATTCTGCCTACATTTTAAATTGTCCTTTTTTTTCACCATCGAAACAATTATGTATTGATTTCAATAAAAATATATAAAAGATATCTTTATTGCCGTGAACTAAAAGAAAAAGATTTTCACTTGATTTAAAGTTTGATCTCCTCCATTAGCTAAAACTCCTGTGATTCAATTTGAAAAAAAAACCTTTTGTAAAAAGACAATGGCCTCCCATTTTGGAATCACTGATCTTTACTCTTTTTTTTTTCTTCAATTAAAAGAAGAGAAAAACAAAATTGTTTTAGTCAAGCAGACAATAAAATAAATTAGTATCTTGTCTGATAATTGTCATTCGAAAAATGCTTAATTGCCAAAATAATTATCATTAGTGAACAAAGATTTCGCGACTAAACACCAATAATTAGAAAAGGACAATTTAACAAGGAAACTTTTTTCTTTTTTTTTGATAGTGCATTTTTTCTTCGTCTTAAATTTTTCTTGAATAAGCAGATTATGTGTAACAGAGGAATCCATTAATTATAATCTCTGATCGTTTTATTACATGTATAGTGAATTAATTTGATATCAACAAGAAAGGGGTTATCAGTATTGCTGGTAATAATTTTTCCTTCAAAAAATTATTGCTGGTAATAATTTTTGTACAAAGTATTTCTGGTATTAAAACTAATTTTTACACTTTCATAGTATTTTGACAGAAGTTTGGGTGTTAACTATTTGCCCATAGCTGGGACCCTAAGAGGTGCTACCACCGTGAGTCAGGGTAGACCTTGGGAACATTAGCAATTAAGAGGTGGTTCTACGCTCCTCAAAACTCTCTGATCAGAGGCCTTGCTGTTTGGACGTAGTTTATCGTCATACCCAGTACGGGAGCAAGTGGAGGTACCTACTATTATATATATAATGTAAATGCATTGCTAATGATTTTACTATAGGAATGCATTGAAAATCAGGAAGAAAGGGATTGTCAGTGGTCAGGAATGAATACAAGCATTACTGATAGAATAAGGCTATTATATGTATAATGTAAATGCATTTTACTTATACTAGCCTTATTCTTTGGTTTAGATTGGTTTGGTTTATTTTGTTTTACGGCATATCAACCTCAGTGGGTTATTTAATGCCAACAACATTTTTAGGATAGATTCGTATGAATAGAATATGTATTCTTTGGTTTAGATTGGTTTGGTTTATTTTGTTTTACAGCATATCAACCTCAATGGGTTATTTAATGCCGACAACATGTTTAAGATAGATTCGTATGAATAGAGTATGTATTTTTTGGTTTAGATTGGTTTGGTTTATTTTGTTTAACAGGATATCAACCTCAATGGGTTATTTAATGCCGACAAAATTCTTATTTCTGGTAATAATTTGTTTTCAAAAATGTATAGCTGGTAATATCTTTTTTCAAAAATGCATTGCTGGTAATAATTTTTTTTATGAGGTATTTCTAGTTAAAACCCATTTTTACACTTACACAGTGTTTTAACCCCAGTTTGGGGGCTAACTATTTACCCATAGTTGGGACCCCCAACAGGTGCTACCACCCCGAGTCAGGGTGGACCTGGGAACACCAGCAATTAAGAGGTGGTTCCATGCTTCTTAAAACCTCCTGATCACAGGCCTTGCTGTTAGACATAGTTTATCGTCTTACCCAGGACGTGGATGTAGTTTAACGTCTTACCCTGGACGCGGATGTAGTTTATCGTCATACCCAGGACGAGCTAATAATATAATCGGTCAGTAATTTGGCACTGGCAAAAATTGAACGCTGAACACGTGAACAGAAACAAAATTTTTATGTGGCTTCAGACTCTCTTCTCTTGTCAATTCAATTTTTTTGCTCATTCTATATCAAAAAAGGGTTTCACATAAGCCCGTTGTTTTTTCTTTCTTTCTTTTTTTAGCTGAATGACCAATCTCCATGAAGGCAAAGTTTTCATTATTCCAAAGAAAATTTCACATAAGCTCACCCGAATTTGAACAGAATGGGTAAAAGATGTTATTAATATCATTCTCACTACAAGTTTGCACCAATCGTTATTTATCATATTAGTGTTAAATAACAAGATTTTTAATCTATAAAAATCCATTGTCATTGTGGTATTAAATAACATTTAGTATAACATGCAAATTATATTTTTCAATAACATATATTGTATTCTATTTTTGCTGTATTTAGCAAGTAAACATTTAAGATGCCATAAAATCTTTATTTCTCATTATAAATTAAAAAAACATAAAATACCCACATATATAATTAAAATTCTTTAAAATTACTATGACTATCACCATCTGATGCAAATAGATCATGTTAAATATTGCCATTTACAGTTTCGTCATATGGGTCACAGTTGATCATCTTGTACTATAGATATCAGATAAAATCATGAAAATCTACCTCGATTTTAGGTGTCTTCTTTTCTACCTTATACATGGAACTATATGGTACACACATACTGTTGTGGAGTG